CCGCACTGAAATGGGCAAAACGGAATCGGAAGGTGTTTCTTAAAGAGACAGAGGCCAATTTCAAGGCGTTTAGAAGAGCAAGTGATGAGAAGATGAGTTTATTTTCTATTTAAACATAAAAACAGCATTTTAATAACACCTAAAGGTGACATAGATAATTTATTATGGTGTAGTATTTAGATGTATGCCTGAGAAACGCATAATATTGGCCCTTTAAGTATTTATTTATTGGTTCGTTTATATATTTCTGCTTTTATTTTTAATTATGTCAGTTTTAGTCCTCCATACTGCAGGAGCCTGATAATCATCCATTCATTCCAATCAGGTGTGTTGCAGCAGAGAAAAAAGTAAAACATTCAGGGCTGCAGCCCTCGAGGACCAGAACTGCCCACCCCGTTATAAGATACCAGGAAGTATTATGAAGTAACTTCTTATTTTTACTTACAGGGTACTAATCTGATATACGCCTGGTACCTACAGGGTATGTATGGGGTACTGGGGTACCATGCTGTATTATGAAGTGACTTATTACTCTTTACCTACAGGGTACTCGTGGTATGTATCTGGTACGTATATCCTGTAATACAAAATGACTCATTAATTTATACTTACAGGGTAATTATGTGGTACAAATCTGATTTTAACAAAGTACACACTTGGTACTTATGCCTGTACATACCCTGTAAACAGCCCAGTTCCTGTAAATACCCACATAAGTACACAGTAGGTAAGCAGATATGTAACCTGTAAGTATTGTTGTATTATGTATAGCTACTATTTAAGGTATTTATTCTTTGGGAGCATCTTAAACATCTTTGGCTTCGTCTTTTCTTCAGTGTTTGAGTCAAACAGAACTCAACATCCGGCTGCAGCAGATCACAGGGGGGGAGGAGTCCCACATGCCCCTGACAGCTGTCTGTATGAGTCTGTCTCCATCAGATCCATGTGAGCGCGGTGTCACTGATGTGAAAACAATAAAAAGCTCGCTGCAGGCGGCTCAGGGACTCCACCCACATGTTTTGTGTCCAGGCAACCGTACTGTATGGTTTTCAGGGAGCGGTCCAGCACGGCAGTACAGAGACGTTTCTGTGTGAAGTGAATGTTGTTTTCTTTTTATGAATCATGAAACTGCAATTGATCGGGCGACTGTGAAGCAGCAGCGAAGCAGTCACACCTGCAGGAGTAAAAACCACTTTACAGGTGACGTTAGACTGAAACCACACACCAGAGACAAGTCATTCATCTTACTGTCAACGGTTGTGTTTAGATATGACAGAGTTCAGGAAGTCCAGTCATTTCAGATGAGACGTTTTGTTTTCTTTAAGCTCCATTTCTCACCACTTGAACTCCTAACATGAGGTGCTACAGACAATAACATGTCACCTACGTTCAGATGTCAGTGTCTTCATTATGGGCTAAATATGAGAAGAATGTACTTGTGTTTATCAGTGTGCATTGCCAATGCAATGCACACTATTGTGATTCGTTTCCCATCCAAGTCATCTCAACTTTGCCATGCTTCTCCTCCTACATACTTTGTCCTAGAGCTGCCATTGTAATTTATATCTGTAAAGCCCCTGTGCCAAATGATGGCTATGCCTTTTGGTGCCTGTACAACTTATACTTTTTGAAATATTAATGTTTCATAAATTACAATGGCAGTCAATGGAGCCTTGTATTGGTCCAATACTTCCCCCTGCTGCATCTACACAATATGGCACTGCACCATAGTTTTATAGTATTTAAACTCAGTAGTTCAGTGATTACAATATTCTGATGTTTTACTGTAAAACTGTCTTTATGCTGTCCTATTGCTGTAATATATTGCACTTAAGTGTCAATAATTGCATTGGCAAGGTAAACTTTTTCTGTATACATACAATCCAATCCCTGGGATTATCCTCTGCCACATCTCCTATAGTCTCATGATGAGCACTGTGGGCTTTCATGCGGGAGATCAGGGTTCAAATCCAGGTACTGCAACTTTAACAAAAATCTCTTCAAACATCATATTGTCACACAATTACCTTAATTACAAACACCTGCTGACGTGACAGGCTCAAGCTGGTATAGAAAACGCATTTGAATTTGGTCAAAGTTCATTCTGCAAGTCCAATGCTGCAGGCAAAGCCATGCTGCAATGACATGCCACGTGGCAATGCACACTTGTTTTTACATCGTAAAAACCCATGTCTAGTTTATTTAGTTTTTTAGGTCAAGGGTGGGGGGGATGCAAAATTGACTTTCGAGCTTGATATCATGTTATGTCATTTCCTGATCAGAAACATACCCAGAGTGTTGCTTTGACTCATCCATGCAAGTTTGAGAAACCCTTGAATTGTGGAGCTACCTAAACCAACTAATAGGCAGACCTGGGTCTGTATCCGGACCAGAATGGTATCTCAGGTGGACCTGCACCTAACGCCAAAACAGAGATCCCCACTGAGCGCATGTAATGTTGCATTCTGACCGAACAGGACTTGAGCATCATCAGCTTTACATGCAAAGTCTACGGTGGATGAGCATCAAGGGGCATCAGGATGAGTTATTGTGCGTTTTGAAGTGTTTCAAGCGTTACACGCATACAGCACGTCCAACGTGGCAGAGGCTTGAGTTGGAAAATCTGACATTTTGCAGCTGGATGCAGAGCATCAACCAATCAGAAACTCGGCTTTGAGACGTAGTCGCGCATTTTCCGACGGGACGGCCTCCTGCTGTTTTGGTCAAACCTTGTTAGTAACACTGTGTACAGTCTCGTGATATTCTGAGATCTTGTGTAACATGTTAGTACTCAGAGTATTATCTGGGAACAACTATTTGATACTATTATTAAATTACAAGTATCTGCAAATTCAACTGAGTTAAAGATACTTTTTTGTTGGCTAAAGTTGGTGCCATTTTGAATCAGTCTGACCCCAAAGGTTTATCACTTAAAGATGTTAATCCAGCTGTAACCAGTATTATTATACAGTATACATACGTATTTTGTTGCTGTTTTTTTGGTTTATCCATATTTTGCAGGAGTGCAGACGGATGTCGGGTGTGATAGCTTGTGTTTTCTTGATGTATACATACATTTTCTAATCTCTCATTTAATCTGTCTGATTACATTTCCCATTTTTCTCATTTCCTCTTTAAAAAAAGTCACTGATGAAGAAATTGAGAAACTAATATTCAGTAATTTTTTGTCTTTTGAAGTGATTTTAAAAAATAGGTGTCAATCCACTGATTACTTCCTGAGAGTTTCAATAAAAACCATCCAGTGGTTCACGAGATATTTTAATAAAACACACACAAAAACAACAATGAAAGGTAATGAAAGAAGACAAACGTGCAGAACTTGCAGTTTGTTTATTGCAGTTTGTGAAAAAAAAGGAGTTCAGAATCTGTCAAACAATAACCGCAGCCATGGGAATGTGTTGGGGTGTTGTGTACTGCCAGGTGATCAGAAACATTGTTTTCCCCAATAATAAATCATTATAACAAACATAATTCTATTATAAACTTCCATAACACTTGTGGATACATTTCTTTTTTTATATTAGCTTTCTTATTCATTCTGTCCTTTTTTTTATTTAGATTTTACAAGCTTTTTCTTATCATTCACATGGGGGTACTGTAGCACTCTCAGCACCCACAGTTCCCACGGCCTTGGGCTGAACAGATAAATAGTTTCTGTAATATTTCCACAATAAATCATTAAGACATGATCATCAGGACTGGTACAAGAAACAAGCCCTGCAGTGTCTAAAGTCTACAAATACACAAGTTAAAAACAGTAAGAAACATACAATAATACTAGAACGCACATTCATACAGAATGACTTGTCGTTAGTTCTACGAGCTTATCTACTTTCTCTGATAATGGCAAAACTGGGAATATTATAGTACTTCAAATAGCGCTTCATCTTTTGGAAAATAACAGCAGCGTCATTTCAAAATATTAATATCTTGATCGAAGAGATTTATACAGCTGACGGTCTTTTAATAACAATCAGAATCTGCTTTATTAGCAAGTAATACAATGGCTGAAATTTCAAAGAGTTAAAGCAATAAATATGTTCGGCCACAATCCTGAAACATCGCCCACATTCTGCCTTTAAAAAGACTTCTATGGAACAGATGGGAGAAAACGTTTTGTTTTTATCCAATTTATAACATAAAACTGAGAATTTGCATTATTCTCTAAACTACAGTTAAATTAGGGTTTTATGATGAGTTAAAAAATTGTGTAACAGTCTCGTCAGAAATGCACGTTCTCACATTTTTACAATACGTGTGTTAGGATTTTCTTTCCAGGAAAATCAACAGCCAAACTAGAAATATGGCATTTGTAAAATACAGATTTCTTGGCAACACGCGCCACTCCTGAGCACCATCTGTGTGTCTCTCTGCCTGTCTACCCACAATGCACCTGTCTACACCTAAGAATCACTTTCAGACTGGTTGTTTTCTCCCCCCAACATCTGTCCTCAAAATGCTTTTGAACAAGATGCATCATGCTTCTGTGGGTGAATGGTTTAAAATTTAACGCTTTTTTCTTCATTAAATTTAAATGAGCTCACAAACATTTATTGTGTAAACATGAAAAAGAAAAACATAATTATGTAGAAATTTTGAATGTGTTTGTAGCAAATAAACATTTAGGACCAGTTAATCACTGTCGGTTCGGATGTTATCAGTCCATTAAATGGACATTATTAGCGGTTATCAGTCCCATAGAATGGCTTCAGACTGTCCCAACTATGCCCCCTAGCAGGTTATCAGTCCCATAGAATGGCTTCAGACTGTCCCGACAGTGCCCCCTAGTGGGTTACCAGTGCCATATACGTTGGAATGCAATAATCTGATACCGCCAGAGTCCAGTCTACTTTATCGTAGCCCATGTCATTTTCTATAAAACTAACCTTAGTGGCTTTATGCCTCATATTAACCAGCTGACAGTCTGAAACCATTCTATGGGACTGATAACGGCTAATAACGTCCATTTAATGGATGATAACATCCAAAGCGGGTGGTTAATCAGGGATCTGCAACCTGCGGCTCTTTGTAGCTTGGACCAAAAACCACACAAAAAGGTAGCATCTCTCTGGTTCAGTTTTCTGCCACTTGTGAATTAATCCTCTATAGCAGAGTTGTACTGTAAAAACATAAAACACCACAAATAAAAGTCAAGGCTCACGCAGGCCTCCATAATCCAGTGATTACAGTTTATCTAAAGGGTAACACAAAATATTTGTTCCCTTTTCAGAAGAAGTAAATACAGAATATGCATTTTGTTTTCCTGTGAACACTGATTTAGAAAAAGCTGGGTAAATTCGAAATCAAAACAAACCTCATTTTTCACAGAATATAGTAAACAAATAAATTATACTTTTTTTTTTGGAGGGAAAAAGAATAATGTAATTTTAAATTTGATGGAAGTGACACACCTCAAAACCCCACATAGTCCTCTTACTGGTTTGTTTTCAATTAACCAAATTTATTCCAAAATGCTGCTCCCGCTGTTTCTCATTCACGCCCCTTACTTCTACAGAATTTTGTTGCCCCTGATCCAACTGATTTGAAATTTACTGCTGCCGTAAAATTTAAAATACGTAATTCTTCCCCTCTAAAAATAATACAATTTCTTAATAGAAACACTTGATATGTTTACTAAGATTAATAATGAATGGGTGCAGTAGATATACAGATTTCAGTTTTTTTAAAATAGTTTTTATACATTATCCCGACCTATTTGGAACCAGAACTCTAGATGCAGTCTTTATATTTCTTGGGTAAAGAGGCAGAAATGGCTCTGAGAGTAAAGGTTGCAGACCTCTGAGTTACTGGGATGCTTCAGATGAGCCTTGGTAGGACAAGAGAAAGCAGGAGAGGATCCAGAGCAGATGGGTGGTTGTTTCAAGTATGAACTCACTGGTGTGTGTGTGTGTACATGTTTTTGCTACCTGGTAGGGACCATTTTTGACCATTTACTGGGTACACACAGCCCACTTTTCTTTATGGGCACAAAAGCCTGATCCCAATTGGGAGATATACCATTGATGGGTCAGGGCTTCGGTTTAGGATTAAGGTGTGGATTGAGTTTAGGTTAGGTTTAGGGTAAGGGGTCAGGGTTAGGCTATGGAAGTGACCAGTAAATGAATGGAAGTCAATGCAAAGTCCCCATGAGGATAGAAGAACAAACATTTGCATGTGTGTGTGTGTGCGAGAGACAGACTACAGACTACAACTATTACTGTGGCAGGAGAAGAGGGGTGAAGCTGAAGGGACAGAGGTTCAAGGCTGGGTCACTGCACTGGGCTCCTTGTCATAGATGTAGCTGCCCACACCACCAGTGTTGACTCCTGGAAAAACCACAGGGACAGCAGTGTGTGTCAGAGGGGGAGGGGGGAACAAAACAGGACAAAACAACATGAGCAGGACAGGTTGCAAAATGTTTCCTGTACAACTGGCCTCAGGGTGTGGAATCTGTGCAAATGTGATCATGAAATAAGTCTTGTGAAACATTCAAGTGAGGCGGATAACTTGTGGGCCAACGGCGCCCCCTAGCGGTTACCTTTGGGCCCAAAGAGAACAGCGTAGCATGGTTTGTGGCAGTAGGGCTGGCCGTCGTGCTGGAAAGAAGAACCAAGAATTAGAGATATGATTTTACTCAAAGGGAAACTTTAATTTTAGTTTTTGCTAGATGTATAAGGACGAAAATATATCCAAATAAAAATAAAAAACTTTTACATGATTTGCAGAAATGAAATGCAGACTTTTCAAGCCCTTCAGATAAAGACAGAGAAAAAAACCGTGAAGAAAACGTCTCAATTTATTCTTTTAAGTGACAGTAACCCACAAGGAAGATTTTTAGAAAAGTCATATTTTTCCTTATTAAATATTTAATTTAAGATTTCTCAGTATTGAGATTGTGCTATTCTTATTTTTTCATTTCTCCTTAAATGAAGTGAGTTTTTTGAAAATATGGAGATTTATTTTTAAAGAGAGAATTTATAAAAACTCAACACATTTTTTTTTTACAAGACTTTGTTATTAACACTAGAAGTCCCAGAGAAGGGTCATTTAACATTTACGGTTTGTGTGTGTTTGTTTATCTTTTCACAAAACATCTCATAAACCACTGAATGGATTTTAATTTAACTCACAGAAAATAATTAGCAGACGTAAATCTACAACTGATTCACTCCTGGAGTTAATACATTTCATAACGGCTGCTACAGCTAAGCAAAATTAACAAACACAACAATGGGCCTATTTCAGCCCAATCTGCAGACTTTTAACTAAAAGTGGGCGTGGCAATAGCTGAGAGGCATCTCCAACACAAACACTACCGCAAGCTAACCGATATCACAACATCACAAATCCTCATTATTCCATTTGTAGTAGTTGTGTTGTATTTGTTTCTCTCATCTTTCTGACAGGCAAAGCTGTGACTGAACTGCTGCAAACCAGAAACATCCTTACAGCAAGCTGAATAATCAGGATGTTTATTTTTATTTCATGCAGGAGCTTTAAACACTTCACTTTGCTTACTTGAAAGATTTTGTTTACATCTTATTTTGTGGTATGCCATGAATACCAAAGCTAAAAATAATGAAAGAAAATAAATACTGATGATTTTGATTTCAGGAGAAATAAATAGTTATTTAGATTACTGTACAGATTAGATAGATAAAATAGTAACCAGCCTTTCCCCACCTCTGCATGGCTGCCAGCAGACAGAGTCTTGCCGCACCTTTCGCAGCGCAGACAGGGTCGATGCCAGTCCTTCCCCAGAGACGTCACCTTCTCAGCTGGTAGCAGAAACACACATGGAAACAACTGGCAGCTTCACACTTTTGTTTCTAACATTTATCCACACTTTTTGTTTCCTGGAAGACCTTAGCTGCTCACCAAAATACACCTTCTTGTTGCACCGGGGACACAGGTTGGCCTCGCCAGAGAAAGTGGTGACGCTGCCAGCTGCTGAAAGAATTACACATCATATCAGTGGTACAGCAAACAGAAAGTCAGTAAGTGTAAAATCTACTTCACTAATAATGTAGCAGGAAAAACTTAGCAAAACAAAACAGTTTTAATAAGTTAAAATACTTTCCTCATTTTCCTGCAAGAGCAAAGATACAATGTGTAAATGGCACAGGAGTTGTGAAGAGAGAGATGGTTCAGGTAAACTGTGTCCTCAGGCTTTCACACACTCTACATTTAACTAAAAACCTTAGTGTAATTATAGGTTTATCTTCTGCTTGAGATTTAATATCCAAATAAGTAACAAAATCATTTTAGTTTTTAACAACTGAGCTGCAAAATACTGAAGAAATTTATAGTTATTATAGTTACTGATGTTAAAAGCACAACACTATATTTTTAGGTTTTCCTTTTTATAATGTTGACAATGTTTAATCTATTATGTTTTGATTGAAATAGGTTCAGTTACATGTCCATCCATCCATTTTCTTCTGCCTATCCGGGGTCGGGTCGCGGGGGCAGCAGCTTCAGAAGGGAGGCCCAGAC